CAATGGTGACAGGGATGCCAAATCACGGTAGTCTGAAGAAGAAACGAAGTTGCACTGTCGACAATCCACAAATGAGCTTTTGCTCTCCAAGGCACTGAAGTATATGTACGGCCAACGCGAAGCAATTTCCAACGAGTTCTAGAGGTGTTGGCGTTACGACACGCTTTGATAGATACGGCTGCTATTAGTATGCATGCATGTATTTAGCACAGCAGGCCCGCAGTCACAACTGTATTTCACGTAGGCTGACGCGCATTGTTGCGCTTATTACATGGTAAATTCTTTGGAAGCAATAACCAAAAGTGCGATCTTCTTGTGATGGAATCGCGGCTCCGCCTGTTGACCACTGCGACTCCCATTTTTCACTTCTTATTGCTACCTGCTGGAGCTGTTGCTCTGCTACTGAATCTCCCGTTTCGAGCGGTGAGAGTGAAGTGATAATGAGGGAGGTGTGACAGCCAAAAGGTGAGAATTCGCCCGACGACGCTCTTTCTTCGCCTTATGCACGTACGAGCGTGGTTCATTATGGGGTTCTACATGAGATGTTTTAGGTTTGTTGTTTTTGCTTTTTCCATTCCCTTTTTGGCAAATTACCGTCTTGCCATTAGTAGCTCTTCAGCACAAGTCACTCTTTAGAGCGATATGCCTTCAACTGTCACGTTTTGTCGAATTTTGAGAGTTCAGCCTATAGAGTAAAGTGGATGTTAGGTTGCTACGAAAGTATGGTGGATGTGTGTGGGTGCCCTTCTCTAACATTTCTAGAACGACCACCATTCTTTTCCACCAACTAGCCTATACCTTCCGACATTCGAATGAAGAATGTTCAGCTTTTAAGCGCTGAATAAAGCGAGACTGTACAGGAAAGTGCATTTTCTTCTCTTTTTGAGGGTACTGCATATACTGGCTCTCTAGTCTCCTTATTTCTCTCGAGGGGCTCAATGGCATCTGTCTCAAGGTAGCATAATCTTTGGAGGATCTTCAAGGTTTCAAGCTTTTCGCCCCGGTTCTGCGAGCAGCCACAATCTTCCTCACTGCAGTCTTCGTTTCTCGGTAGTTCCGTCAGTTACCAGCTGACTCGGAAAACGCATCGTAACCCATAATTTTCTCGCAAATATTCAGTTTCGTATTGCCTGTTGGCGACCGACATCTGCTTATCAGTTCTTCGCTTTTCAGCCTTCTTGATGTCGAATTCGTCGAATTCGGACAAGAGCCCTAGAGTGTCGCTTTCGAGGCATCTTTCCAGGTCTGCTCGACAGTCGTGGAGGGAGGAAGGCGAATTCGAGGGATCGCTGCTCACTTCTTACTAACGTTACCTGAATATAACCACTCCTCTGATTATTCTAGTGAAATTAATACTTAGTCAGTGAATCTTGGGCTTCATATTACAACGAGGAGGGCTTTGCTCTATTGCTTCCAACGGCTTTGTGTGGTCTTCCACTTCATCCAAGTACCGCATACAATTCCTACTGAGATTTCTCTGTCACGATGTCTTCTAATGTTCGATTGGTAAATCGACAAACTATAGGTTTACCTCCGTGGATCCTGGTCCTTGTCACGTGCGATGTGGTAAGTCCCCAGCTGCGGTAGCGCTCTCCCCTTGAATGCAAGAGAACGGACAAGGAGGGCAGTGATATCCGAGTGCTGTCCCTATCCCAGCCCGTGCTTTCGCACGGCTTTCTTACAGCGCTAGCTCTGCGGTAACTACTCTGGCTGGGGGTAACACGATCGAAAGTTAAAAAAAGGATCAAACTCCCCGAACAATCGAAGTACTGTCAAACAACCGAGGAGACCACTTTATGTTACCTCTAGTGGCTAATCACAAAACAAAAAAATAGCTTCAGCGAAATCAACCCTACATGAATACTGCAGACAAACCCTGACCTATTTAATGTGCTGCCATACTTGTGGGACATTGAGAGAGTGAGAAATTTTCGAAAAATAAAGAAAGTTGAAGTTGCTCTGGAAAGTCAGTTCTCGGAGTCGGCATGCAAATTGGTACTGGTAATTACATTTTATACCTAGAGACTTTTCTTGAAAACGTCGTGCAGGGAGGGATATTGTGAGATTTATGGGTGGAAGTATACTTTTGGGACGCAGTGTAAAGTTTCAACATTGATGACGCCAGCAGCCGAAAACGAGTGAGTCCAAAGGGCAGCGCTTTTCTGAAAGGCATATTTGGTTTGACTCCTCGAGACGCGTCCGGGTGTGTGCATCTCATTAGGGAGCGATCTGCTTATCTCTCCTGGTGAGTGAATCATAAGGCGAACGCAGCCTTAACAACCCTATTCCGACAGTCCGAAAAGACTCCTGGCGAGGCTGTGCTAGCAAAGATACTAGTCTGTCTTGCTTCGACTGACATCTCACTGATGGTCTCTATTAAGCATCAGTCTGAAAAAGAATTAGTAGATGTTAATATCATTCCTATGTGTGTGTTTCCGGAGCATGATTCACCTAACACACGATGCACGATGTGGTGCGAATGCCAGATTCGGATTCCTAGTGGCAAAAAGACACTTGTTTTGCCTTTATTGAAGTGAACAAATGTTCAAGAAACCTACTTATGCTATTTCGTGTAACGTCGTAGAGAGCGTTGGCTTCGTAACCAAAAGTCCTGAATCTAAAAAACCGCTCATTCGCTTCCTCCTCAGAGAAGGTCGTCATGAGTTCCATGAATTCTCTTTCTTTTTTGATGCGGGCAATTTCGTTGATCATGTTAAGGAGCGTCAGATTCACTAGCGAAATGTGCTGAAATGTTACTTCTTCCAGGGAACACAATTGTATGGAAGCGTATACCTTACCGCGAAGAATTGCTCATCTAAAGCTGTGTCATTGTGAAACAAATCATCATCCACCATTATCCTAGTGATGAGGTCTATTTTCCCTATGGCAGCCTGTAAAATGGCAAGTCGGCTGGCGCACACCGTCACCTACGCATCTTGAGAGGGTCTTCTTCACTTGAACGTAAGACCCTATTTAATTTTTACTGGTTTGCGGCCACATCTCCTGACGCATCGTCTTTGCTCAAAATAAAGATGTGACGCATGCCTACTAGTATTTCTTTTATAGTAGACATTAGAAGTATTAGTTCACTTACCACCCTGTAAAATGTAATGCTGTTATGCTCAGCAGTATATTCGTAGAAAATGTAGTCAAGATAGCCCAGCCCCAGACCTGTTTTAGCAATTGGTATGGTCACTTGTAGCTCAACACCAATGTAACTATCGCGAATTATGATTTCACAAGTCGGATCGCCCGGCTAACGACGAGCTCCATTCCTTCTCTTTAGCTGGCTTGACTCTGCCAGGCGCACTTGATGGTAGCGGAATTTGCTCATGAAGGCAGGACATACTCCACGATTGGTCAATGTAACCGTCAACGCTAACTTCCAGTTCGGGGCCCACGAAGAAAATATCGGTCCAGGAACCATCCAGGAACTTTCGGTTACACCACCAACCCGCGCTTTGGCGACTGCGGTGAAGATGATATCCTGGACCATTGTCGGGGCTACTCGATGTTGCTGGTCTTCCAGATCAAGAGAACTGGTCTCAGTTAGCTATTCATGGGTGACTCCAAAAAGTTTCGCAGCTGTATGTGAATTCCAAAGGGATTTTCCAGTCAGGCTGCGACTGGAGATGGCTTCATATTTCGGTGTACATGAAGGTGATAGGCGGGAGCCTGCTTCTGCTTATCAAGAACATCTTGGGTACCTTCCGCCCTGGTACTCGTATCCACGTCCCTGTCTGGGCTGTGAAAGTTTCACTGACAAAGTGACTTTTCTTGGCCCCTGTGTGTCTCTTCTGGCACCCTTATCAGATCTTATCAGCTGCTGTCACCCACAATGATTTTCCCGTCTCGATCTCTGACACTTTCGAGGACCAATTTCCCTTTACAACTGGAACGGACGCTATGAATTTTGTGACAATATACACAAACCAGTCGGATCGCCCGGCTAACGCCGAGCTCTTCTCCTCCTTCTTGAAAGCCCGGCTTCGCCGGGCTCATGCAACTGTTTTAGAGTCGTGACTTACCGCTGTCTTCTAATCAAATGAATGTAGAAACGCACCACATGATCGCACGGCTCTTTCATAATGAAAAGTTCAAAATCTGGTCATGGATAATCGATTACTCTCCTCCCCTTCTTATGACAGCGAAGGATGCTTCGGTCTCCGCAGTCGCTGCGTGATCCTGTTAGGCGAGCGTCGGTCGCGCCAATATGGTTAACCCCTCCACCTCACCTATCCCCAAACTAACCTCAGCTATTCCCGCTCAGCCACCCTACAGGTCACGCTCAGCTGCTACGCGAATAGCCCGTGCATGGTTCTGAGTGCACAAATGGTTGTGTTATGTTGTGGAGGTTGTTATGACTATCAAAACGCCTACCACAATTTGATAATGCAAACATTAATCGGTTCAGATCCCGATTGCGGTCGATCCATTTTTCTTCTCATCTTATCGCAAACCGTAAGACGCCTTACCGCCACAGGCGCTTATGTGCTCCTATTCGCGAAATCGTTGTCCTCATCTGCGTATCCCCCTCACCACATCATATCCACTTGACCCTGATTAACCGGCGCCCACTCCCGCACGTGGTATGCAGCCGCCACGTGGCAGTTGGTGCACATAGGGACACTACGCCGCCACTGTTTACTTTACCACCGCCTTGCTCGTGCTCACGTCCAGCTCCCAAGCGAGCAGCTCCTGCACTAGCACAGACTCTATCACAGTGGTTGGCTTAGATAGGGGAGCGATTTACAATTTCAAACCGCTTCCTAGTTCGTTGCTTGTAACTGGATTAGCTTGCAGGTTTTGCTAGCGGTTCTTTCCTTCTAACTTGCCGCCTGCTCCTATCCAAGCGTACGCTACGCATCCCCTTACTGTACCCAGTTTGCCCCGATTTAATCCCTCTGCCTCCCTCCCCTGTATGGGTTTCAAATCCGACGGAGCACCCGCAAGGGAGGAGAACAGCGAGACGAGGTCACTCGGTAACCCACTCCCACCTTCCTCACCTCATCCCTTTCCATACACGCCACCCCCTCCCATCTTGCCCTTTGCGCGCGCTCACTACAACTACTACACGAGAAACCGTGCAATGGCTCGGGAGAGTGGTGGTCCTTCTTATATAGTGGAAAGTGTTATTATGACCAAAACAACTTTTCAATGCGTAACGGTAACATGGATTAGGCTGGGTTTTCTTATCGGTTGTTCCCTCCTCCTTTGCTTCGCGTTTCTACTCAAAGCGGCGCGCTACGCCACCCCTCCCCTGCACCCCCTTCGGCGGCCCTCCCCTCTGCCTCCCTCCAATACACGTGCTCAGTCCGGCTGAGCACGTGCAGGAGAGGGGGGCAGGGCGACCCGGTACCCCCAGCCTGCCCCCGCACGAGCACACGTCCAGCTGCCACGCCAGCAGCTCGTGCAATGGCTCGGAGTGTACCGAATGGTTGTCTTATATAGCGGAGGCTGTTATCACATTCAAATCAGTGGACTGCTACATCCTCCCAGTAGGTTACCGGTTTGCCTAGCGGTCGTTTTCGCCTCCAGCGAACTCGAACCCGTGAAGTATTTTGCGGACGGACAGACAAACATTACCCCATTACATACCTACAAACCTACATACATACAAACATACAAACCGACACACAAAGTTACTGGTTTATAGAATGAAAGGATGCTTTCTTCGCGAATTATTTACCACCAGTCAGAGCACAGCTATCGCCGCCCTCTCCTCCCTCTATGTCGCGGCTCAGCCTCGCAGCACCGGCCCGGTTTCTCCAAGCGCTCTCCCCTTAGGTGAGCTGGAAAACCAAACGTGCAAAATTGTCACAGGATATCCTTTGGAAAGAATGTTGAGTGGCTACACATTGGTCATTACCTTGGCACATTTGGTTCCTTTCGCTACTTCTTCTATTTTAGCCGGGAGAAGGCTGTACCAGTCTGTCAACGCAGCTGCGATACGAAAAGGGCTACTAATATTGAGGCAGTCTGCACTGGCAGTTTGACATACGTTGCCTTGTTATCTCCGTAACATCCAGAAGAAGCGCAAGTGTGGACCATGGGCCGCAGTAAAAAAGAACTTTTTGCCCTAGGCATGTCAAAATGTGCGTCACACAGGGGCCCTGCATGTGAGCATCAAGAGAAGCCCTCGCTCTCAACCGTTGATTCCCTCTTTTTTGGATCATTTGCGAGCCTCTAACTACATCAGCATTGCGGGAATACACCAGGCAGATTCTTTCTTCTTTTTCTTCTTCTTCTTGTTCTTCAGCGTTTGTCCCGATCGATGGCGGGATCCGCTCTTTCGCTACAACTACGCCACTTTTCCCGATTGAATGCCTGATCGGGATGCCGGCTATTTTCAAGTCGGTATGCAGCGTGTCAAACCAGCGCTGTTGGGGACGCCCTTTTGGCCGCTTTCCAGGCACCTCGAGTTCAAGATCAGTCTTACGGACGGTGTCAGCCTCCGCGCAAATTACGTGCCCGTACCATCGAAGGCGCGTTTCACGCATTTTTTCTGCTATGGGAGCTACACGAAACTTTTTGCACAGATATCTTTACAAATTCTGTCCGATTGCGTAACGCCCGCCGTCCAGCGCAACATATTCTTCTCCATCACACCAAGGCGAGCTTCAACTTCATTGGTCGTGGGCCAGCACTCGGCACCATATAAGGTAACACCGGACGAAGTCTCTGACTAGAAACGCTCTGGCATTTTCTTGTCGCAAAGGATCTCAGACATGGATCGCCATTCAGATCACGCCGCATTCACTCGTGCGCTTACTTCCGAGTTTAGAGTGCCACTGAATGCAAGTGCTGATCCGAGATTTTCTTATCTGGTCCGAACGTTTCTGTGCGCCTGAGCGCTGTCTCATCGATCTTGATAAAGCATGGCTCATTTGGGTTGGTTGTCAGGTACACGGTTTTGTTGACGTTCAACCTGAGTCCAAACTTCGCCAGACGCTCGGCCCAAGCTTGCACCTGCTGTTACAGTGCGTTTCTATCTTCACAAGCAAGCATCACATCATCAGCGTGAAGCAGGAAGTCCCTCCTGAATCCAAGAAATCCCTTCTGAAGACTTCGTGAGATGGCATCCATGACGACCACGAAAAGAAGTGGGGAAGCGCGGAAGCGCAGAGCCTTGATGTTCTCCGGACGATGATGGGAAACTCCTGAGACACTCGCTGGTAAACGAACTTGGCTTAGTGGTCGTGAGTAGAACGATGCCCTCTCAATGGGCTCTTCGGGCACGCCGTGCTGCCTAAAAGCGCACCATATAACATCACGCGGCACACGATCGAAGACCTTTTCCAGGTCTAAGAAGGTTGCATGAACGGGCTTCCGCTTTTTACGGTGTTTCCTCAGCAATAGGCGATCGGCATGTATGGCGTCGATGATGCACAACGCGCCACGAAGCCACACTGATTGGTGGAAAGCTGGACGATACTGCGAACGCGGGCGTCAGCAATTTGCTCGAAGACTTTCATAGTGTGCGAGAGAAGGCGAATTGGACCGCGAGCAGTCTGTCGAGCTACCCTTCTTATTTCAAATCGAGATCATCACGCTCTGCTGCCATTCCTTGGGCACCTACTCCTCTATACGATCTAACGGAAAAGTTTCGTCAAACAGCCCGCAGAAAACCAGCGCTGTGACTTCCACAGATCAGCTGCTATGTCGTCGGGGCCTGTTACTTCTCCAGCCTTCATCTTCCTCAGAGCAGCTTCTGTTTCCTGTACGGTGACGTTCTGAACGGGACCATATGTTGGTGCGCTGAAGGGTATAGCCGGATGGGCGAATTCCACCGTTGAGATGCCCTCGAAGTATTTTACGCCATTCTTGCAGTACCCTTTTTCGGCCCATCAGTGGG